CTCTACGCACGAGGTTTTTCTCTGAGGCGACAAAGGTGGGATTCGTGTCCTATATGTTGAGGGACTAAGCAAAGGACTGGCAGGAGGAGGTTACCCATGTGGTAGGACTGGTGCATGTGATAGTGATGACATGGGAGGAATTTCTGGGGAGATTTGATCGGGAGTTTGCACCAACCATTGTAGTGCAGTATCTGGTGAGGGAGTTCCAAGACCTTCACCAAACTATTGAGTTATGGTGGAGATTACCGCCAAGTTCAGGGAGAGGGCATTTCTAGTTCCATAGTACGCTATAGATGCGGATATGAGGAAGGCGAGGTATCATCCTATACTGAGGTATTATATCCGGGATTTTATGTGCTTTTCAGGATGCAAGACCCCAAATGACATGATTGGGAAGGCCAGTGAGTGGGAAATCAAGTTAGAGCTCCGGACAAAGCGGAAGCTTGAGCAGGTTTAGATAGTAGTTGGTCAAGCTAAGAAGCCCAAGACCTCCGACACTTCCAGCAGAGGCTAGCAAGGCCAGGGCCATTGTTCCAAGTGCGGAAAGCCCCACAGTGAGGCCTATTGGGTAGCAGGCCTGGTATGTTATGGTTGTGGCCAATTAGGCCACATTAGCAGGGAGTGCCCTACGAAGTGCTAGATTTATTTTCACTGCAACCAAATCAGACATAAAAAAGCCGATTGCCCAAGTTTGTTTGGTGGAGCAGTAGTGGCACCTGTGCCAACCAACTTTGAGGATTACCAATGGCCACCTGGTGAAGAGCAGAGGCTCTTGCGATGAAGAGTAGAGCATTTTAGTTGACCATTGATGAGGCCCGAGCAGTGTCGGGTGCAGTTACTGGTACTTATCTTTATCTTTATTGTTTTCTTGTTATGATGATGTTTGTTATAATCTTGTATAGGGACCTTTTCGCTCGATGGGTTGTCGGCTTATGTTGTATTCGATTCAGGGGCTACCCGATCCTTTGTATCTCTTGCGCTCAGCAAGAAGTTTCGAGATGCTCCATGGACTTTGGATTCCCCTCTGGAGGTGGAGATTGTGGATGATCGTACTTTCAGCATCGCGAGGGTGTTTCGAGTATGTGTTCTGAACATGTTCAGTGAGAGGTTTCTGATCGACTTGGTATCGATTCCCTTGAGGGAATTGAAGGTGATCATCGAGATCGACTTGTTGAGGCCCAATGGAATTGATTGTGAGCGGCGGTTTGTGAGAATTCAAACCATAAGTGGCGTAGAACTGGTTATTCTTGGTGGGATAGCTTCATATATGCCAACGATCTGTTTAGCTATGACGGCTAGGAGGTTTCTTCAGCAGGGTTGTTTCGGATTTTTGGCTTATGTTTTGGATACACGAGTTGAGGCCACGATAGAGTTAAGCAGGGTACCCATTGTGCAGGACTTTCCCAATGTCTTTCCTAAGGAGTTTCTTTGAGTGCCTCCCAAGAGGCAAGTTGAGTTCCAGATTGATTTGATGCCTGGTTCAGATGCTATTGCCAAAGCGTCGTATCATCTAGCCCTGCCTGAGATGCAGGAGTTATCTACACACCCGTATGAGCTACTAAACAAGAGTTTTATTCACCCGAGCAGTTCCCTATGGGGAGCACCGATCCTATTTGTGAAAATGAAGGATGGGTCATACAGGATGTGTATTGATTATCAGGAATTAAACAAGCTGATGGTAAAGAATAATTACCCAATTCTGAGGATCGACAATTTATTTGATTAGCTTTAGGGTGCATCTTGGTTCTTCAAGATTGATCTTAAGTCGGGATTCCATTAAATGAGGATCAAGGATGATTGATATGTGCATATCTACATATATATTTTACATCATACCTTAATACCTTTAGCTATAATTATGTTTAATATGGGTTATGTAGAGTAAAAGACATGCTCAAAAGCAATATGGAATTTGGAAGTAGGAAAATGTGAGCTTAAGCAAGAAGAAGATACATAAAAGATGTTATTGGATAGCTTGACCCCTCATCATTATTTTGATCATATCTCTTGAATAAGGTGATTCAAAATGATCTGAAAACTACATAAAATTTCAAACGACTTCCGTGTTTTGAGAAAAATCAGATTTCCAACCACCACGACGTGGTGAATGGAATCTTCACGATTCTTGCCGTTGGCTTGGAGAATACGGGATAAGCTTGAGGACCACCACGTGGTTCCATTACTACGATGTGGTGTCGATATTTTTTGTAACTATATATATCTCATACATTAGGTCGATTGTAGAGGGGAGGGAGCTGAAGGCTGCGACTATTAACAAAAAATACCCTTCCAAGACCCCTTTGAGGGGAAAAATACAACTAGAGATCAAAGGATAAAGAGATTTGACCAAGGATTTACATCTACACATTCAGTTTGATTAGCTTAATGATGGTTAGCTTAGTTTACCTTATGTTTATGTGTTCATCTGCTGTGATTATGGGCTAAAAACTCTTGCTTTCGTTTAGTTAGATGAAACCTAAAACTATGAGTTAGTTTCTTACTTTATAGATTATATGAATTTGGTTTATATATGTGTTTGATTATTATTATTACCTAGAATGTTAAAGTTTGTGACTTTGTTGCTTAAATTCAAGTTTACTGTAGCTTAGTGACCATTAATTTACATGAACTTGTTTACCTAGTTATTTAGTGACCATTAAATTGCTAGAGCTAGGATTGACCAAATCTTAGTTAAGTGACAGAAGTAACAATTTAACTGTGTTGGAGAACATAATTGTGACTACAATTGTGTTTAGCAAATCTTATATAGCCGAATTATAATTAGTAACTAATTTTGTGTTTGCTTGTTTAGGACCTTACAAAGTAGTACATGAATTTGTGAAAATATTAGTAGATTTGACCAAATTTCTAATTACATATAAATTGGTAACCAACTTTATTAATCCGTAAATAAGAACCAACCACATGAAAAAGGTGGATTCGAAACTAAACGAATGTGTTTTAGTATATTGATTACAATCATTTTTATTTGAGTACTTAAGTATTTCTGAACTCGTAAAATCAGATAAAACCCCCACTTTTAGTTGTTTTTCTTAATTTAGCTTTTATTAATTATTTTATTAATTAAATACCATTCCCTATGATCGACACCTGACTTACCCAAAGCTATATTATAATCTGACTTGGTACACTACCTATAGGTGCATAGTTATTATATGTTTGGTAGGTTATAAATTTAAAGCTAGATAGCTGCATAGTTATTATATGCCTATAGGTGCACATCAAGTTTTTGGCGCCATTGTCGGGGAACGGCTAATTTGATTACTAGTTTAATTGCTTTTAGTTATTCAATCCTTTTTTTCGGGTGAAAACCACAAAAAGTTACTTTGGCTTCATTTGTTTATTTTAGTTTTTTTCTCTCTATAACGCAACCACATCGTGGTTATCTTCACCACGTCGTGGTCTCGCTTTAGTTAGTTTTTCGTTTATTTGTTTTTTTTGTACCCTTTTACGCTTGTGTTTTCTAGTCTTTTTAGCAAGAAATATAGGAGACATCATGAACATGTCAATGGAAAAGTACAAGGGACATATGAGGAATTAAAACATATCGGTTCTTGATCCACCAAAAATCCTAACCACGACAAAGTTTGAAATTCCGCAGCACATTCTTAATATGCTAAAAGATCTTCCTTTTAGGGGAAGGAGCATGAGGATGCTTATGAGCATACATAAGAGGTGGTGGAGATTTCAAATTATTTTCATGCACCTAACGTGAGTAAAGATGCGGTGATGCTTCGACTTTTACCGGTCACATTGAAGGGTGAAGCAAAAGAATGGTTAAAATCACATCCCTTTAGAACAATCATGACATGGGCTGATTTTATGATTGAGTTCATCAACCAGTTTACCCCTCTTTCAAAATTGGCAAAGCTTAAGACAAATATCCATAATTTTCAACAATTAGAAGGGGAGTCGCTATATGAAGCTTGGGAGCGTTACAAATGATTGTTACGACATTGCCCTCAACATGAATTCAATGTGCAACAAGAAATCTCGATATTTTATGATGGAGTCAATGTGTGCACTCGCCAACTTCTAGACTCGCAAGGGCCCATGACAAGGAAGGATCCGACCACTAACAAAGCATTAATTGAAGAATTTGCCAAGCATTCAAGGGAGTATCACAACCCAAGGTGGTAGGATATCATGAGAAGAAAAGTGAATGTAGATGGAGCTTATGAAGTCCTAACAATGGTAATGGAAAAGCTCGATGCCACGGAAAATAGGCTCCCAAAGGTGGATGGATCCATTAATATGGTACATGATAGATGCAGAGATTATGGAGGACCTCATTCCACAAGGGATTGTGATGTGGAGTACAAGAGAGAACGAGATGTGAAAGAAATTCAAGAACTTAAGCATGATCTCTATCAAATTGAGCAAGTCCAATCCAAGAAGATAGATTCTCTCGAGTCAATGCTATTCAGATTCATGGAAGCTAGTGAAAAAAAGACATGAAGCAATTGATGCAACATTTAATGTTCAACAAGCATCTATGTTGAGCATCCACACACAAGTTGGGCAATTAACAAAACTTGTACAAGAAAAGCAATTGGATCGACCTTCAAGTAAAGTCGACTAAATCCCTATGACTCAAGTCATGATCGTTGATACAAAAGAGGATGATGGATTGGTGCAAATTAAGGACCTTGAAGAGGATTCTAATCAGTCACTCAAATTAAAAAGTAAAGAAGAAGAACAGTATCATGAAGCTTCCCAGTCGTCACAACGTGGAGGCAATAATGCAATGTCATGGGCGATAAAAGAAAATTATGATTCCTCAGCTCTTAAGCCGTATCAATCACCTCTCCCTTTCCCATCTCGTGCCAATGTAAATCTAGTGAAACAACAAAACAAGAAGTTCCTTAAGCATGATGAATTTGAACACGTGAAGGAAGACGAGTAGTAGGAATGGGAGGAGCCTTTACCCAAAGAGCAATTCGAAAAAAGAAGTGAATTATTCAAAACCTTCGGTTTCAATGCCTATGATTTTTAAGGTGTTTTCTTTTACAAGACCACCAAATCCAGTAGCAAAGCCAATTGAAGAAAAAGAAGAAGAGAGCGATGAATATAATTTTGATAACAAAAACTCGGAAAGAGACAAGACAAAATCTAAAGACACAAGAATGAGGAAAGAATCCAGGCGGAAACATAAAGAAGATGTCAACCCAACAATAAAAGAAAGTTCAACAAAGGCATTCAATAATAGCGTTGCTTACAAACGAACAAGGCTTAACATGATGCGGAACAGGGAGGTTACACTTCCACCTGACGCAATGTAGAGTAGGAAGAAGTCCGACTCACGACTCTTCAAAAAGAAGCGCTTCTCGGGAGGAAACCAAATGTTTTTTTTGAGTTTGCATTTTCTTTTCCTATTTGATTTAGTTTTAATTTTATTTTTCATGTTAGTCTTATTTCACCTTAACCGAATGATCATGCGTTTCTCTAGTTCTTGATCTTATTTTGTAGTGTTGAACGAAAGCATTGAAGGAGCTTAAATTGAAGAAGCCATGAGATTTTTGAATATCATAATTGAAGAAAAAGTTTTTGAATAAGTGTGGGGTTCCCACATAATGAAGAGAAAAGCATTTGGAAGCATATTTATTGAAAAGAAGACAAGACAATGTGCACATCATCAACACATCGTGACAGTGGTTCAATACATTTTTTTCAATAATAGTTCTTTAATTTCATTCGATTCAGCACATTTGCATTCACAAGAAGAAGCTTTCGAGGAATTATATTTAGAGTCTGAGTGAGGGTATTATTAACAAAAGAAGGTTCTTTATAGAGAATGATTAGAAAACAACGAGAGAAGCGAGATTTGAGCAATTTTTTAGGAGTTTGTTTGCGTCAATAACTGAGGAGTCACGCCTAACAGCTTCGTACATTCATTGGTGCCACATATATTCTAGATATAAGCTCATTGTATCACTGATTATTGCAATTTCAAGACCAAAACGTCGTGGTAATCCCCACTACCTCGTGTTGTCGCAGTCAGAATACCAGAAAAATAATCTGCTTGAGCCACCACGAGGTGGTGAAATTTGCTACGAGGTGGTGCTTTTTCGAGTTCGTTTTTCGAGTCTGATATCGTACCTTGAGTAATCTAAGTGCTCAAGAGTGGCGTTTCCAATTCTATATTGCATTCCATGGTATGTTCCCAAACCATCGAATTTTATTTTTACGCCATGCTGAAGTAATGTCCTGGATACCACGTCATGGTAGACACTTTCCTATATCGTGGGGGAGTTTTTCATCACATCAGGAGGCTGCCGTTCTACTTTCCAATTCCGTTTCCTCACATTAGAGCAAGCTAGAGATCCTACACACGATTCGAGATGCATTTTCTATCATAGGGGAGTTTGTTCCTTTTTCTCTCTTTTATTGCTTTTAAATTATTTTATGCGTACAATGAGGGCATTGTATGTAATAGGTGTGGGGTAGGGGGTAGAAAAAGTAAATTGCTAGAAAATTTATAAAATTTAAAAATTTAGAAATAAATTTAGAAATATATTTGAAATAATAATCTAATAATTAAGTCTAGTAATAGTTTGAACTTAAGTTGCTAGTGTTATATGGGATGATCCAATGAGAGCTCAAATGTTTAACCAAGCTAACATATGTTGTAGTATATTTGTGGCTTCCCATTTCCTAGTGAAAAGTCATGAGATATGAAAGGTAATCTGGCAGTTTATATGGCATAATAAGTTTTGCAGCGTGTACCTGAAATCTATCTAGGAGAGCTTATGTAGTCATTGCACTTAGACTAATACCTTTAACCAATAAGGGTTGAAGTTAATCTCTCTTGCTTAATCATGTAGGATTTGAGTGGAAAAAATGAGATACATGTAGAGAGAGAGATAGATAGATAGATAGATAGATAGATAGATAGATAGATAGATAGATAGATAGATAGAGAGTGAGAGAAAGAGAGAGAGAGAGAGAGACAGAGAGAGAGAGAGAGCAAGAGAGAAATTACAAAAAAAAAGTTGTAAGAATTTTGGAGCTATCAAAGTATGAAGATCAAAAGATCAAAACTCTGAAGAAGATTCAAAAAAGTTGAAGATACCAAAAATCAAACAAAAAGGTGGTGAATTCACAGAAATAAAAGATCAATTATTCAAAGAGCTCCATTATGGTATCAAAAATTGTAATTTTTCTAGATTATGTATGCTTGGGTAGCTTAACCAAAAATACCTTAAGATTACGAAAGATTTATGTGGATTGATTCGGAGGGTTGCAAAAATGAGTGACATATAAGCTAACGGGTGAAACTTCATAAGGATTGTGAGTATTTAGGACTGGGAAGTTATTAGGAGACTTAGACACAAATATGTGCATTGAGGTCTCGGTATAATGGCTGACTTTAAAATGGATTGTTCTATGTGATGGTGGTGATGAAGGCTTGAATTAAAATTAGTTAGTTTTGCTTGAGGGTGAAGCAAAATATAAGTGTGGAGTAATTTGATATGTGCACATATACATATATATTTTACATCATATCTTAATACTTTTAGCTATAATTATGCTTATTATAGAACAAAAGGTACTTATTATATTTAATATCGGTTATGTAGAGTAAAAGACATGCTCGGAAGCAATATGGAATTTGGAAGTAGGAAAATGTGAGCTTAAGCAAGAAGAAGATACATAAAAGATGTTGTTGGATAGCTTGACCCCTCGTCATTATTTTGATAATATCTCTTGAATCATAACTTCAATTAAGGTGATTCAAAATGATCGGAAAACTACATCAAATTTCGGACGACTTCCGTGTTTTGAGAAAAGTCAGATTTCCAACCACCACAACGTAGTGATTCCACCACGACGTGGTAAATGGAATCTTCACAATTCTTGCCGTTGGTATGGAGAATACGGGATAAGCTTGAGGATCACCACATGGTGCCATTACCACGATATGATGTTGAGATTTTTTGGTAACTATATATATCTCGTAAATTAGGTCGATTCCAGAGGGGATGGGGTTGAAGGCTACGACTATTAATGAAAAAAATAACCTTCCAATACCCCTTTGAGGGCAGAATTCAACTAGAGATCAAAGGATAAAGAGATTGGAGCAAGGATTCACATCTACACATTCGGTTTGCTTAGTTTAATGATGTTTAGCTTAGTTTACCTTATGTTTATGTGTTCATCAGCTATGATTATGGGCTAAAAACTCTTGCTTTTGTTTAGTTAGATGAAACCTAAAGCTATGAGTTAGTTTCTTACTTTATGGAATATAAGAATTTGGTTTATCTATGTGTTTGATTATTATTACCTAGCATGTTAAAGTTTGTGACTTTGTTGCTTAAATTCAAGTTTAGTGTAGCTTAGTGACCATTAAATTACATGAACGTGTTTACCTAGTTATTTAGTGACAATTAAATTGCTAGAGCTAGGATTGACCAAATCTTAGTTAAGTGACAAAAGTAACAATTTAACTGTGTTAGAGAACATAATTTTGACCATAATTGTGTTTAGCAAATCTTACATAGCCCAATTATAATTAATTACTAATTTTGTGTTTGCTTGTGTAGGACCTTACAAAGTAGTACATGAATTGGTGAGAATATTAGTAGATTTGACCAAATTTTTACTTACATATAAATTGGTCACCAAATTTATTAATCCATAAATAAGAACTAACCGTAGGAAAAAGGTGGATTCGAAACTAAACGAATGTGTTTTAGTATACTGATCACAATCGTTTTTATTTGAGTACTTAAGTTTTTCTGAACTTGTAAAATAGGATAAAACTCCCAATTTTAGTTGTTTTTCTTAATTTAGCTTTTAGTAATTATTTTATTAATTAAATATCGTTCCTTGTGATCGACATCCAACTTACCCAAAACTATATTATAATCTGACTAATTACACTTCCTATAGGTGCATAATTAGTATAACTTTGTCAGGTTTTAAATTTAAAACTAGATAGGTATAATTTGTGCACATCAATGATGTTGTGCTGAAGACGCCCTTCAGAACTCGTTATAGGCATTATGAGTTCGTAGTGATGCCATTCTGGCTCTCCAATACACTAGCGGAGTTCATGGATCTCATGAACCAAGTTTGTAGGCAGATGTTGGATCGGTCTATAATTGTTTTCATTGATAATATGTTGGTCTACTCTAACACCAAGGAGTATCATGAAAAATATTTGTGAGAGGTGTTAGAGACCTTTAGGAGGGAGAGGTTTTAGGCCACATTCTCCAAATGTGAGTTTTGGGTTCGTGAGGTGCAGTTTCTAGGACACATCATCAACCAGGAGGGTATCTTGGTAGACCAAGCCAAGATTGAGGTTGTTATGGGTTGGGATATTCCAAAGAACACATCTGACATCCGGAGTTTCTTTGGTCTTGTTGGGTATTATCGGAGGTTTATTTAGGACCTCTCCAAGATTGTAGTGCCTTTTACCCGCTTGAACAAGAAGAATGTAACCTTTTGATAGGGTCCAAATAAGCCTTTGAGACTCTGAGGCAAAGGTTGTGCGAGGCCCTAATTCTTGCGTTACCCAGGGGATTAGATGACTCCTTGGTGTGTTGCGACTCTTCTATTTAAGGTTCGGGTGTTTTCCTTATGCAGAGAGGGCATGTGATTGCTTACGTCTTGAGGCAGCTGAAGCCTCATGAAGTGAATCACCCAATGCCTGATTTGGAGGAAGTTCCTTAATGAATTGGACACTCGATTGCACTTCACTAGAAATTACCACCCCTAGATCGATGGGAGAGCGAGTGGACGATCCAGACGCTTGAGGATATGCTTCGGGATTTCGTGCTAGACTTTGGAGGGAGTAGGGATACTTACTTCCTATTAGTAGAATTCTCCAACAACAATAGCTATCATGCTAGTATTAACCGACCTACATTCAAGATGTTGTATGGAATGAGGTGTAGGAATCCAATTTGTTGGGGGTGGTTGGCCACTGAGTCATGGGAATCACAGAGGTGGTTCCTTAGACCATTGAGTTGATACAGCAGGTACTCGACAGGCTATGGGTTGTGCAGAGTCGTTAGAAGAGTTATGCTAACTGATGTCCTTTAGATCTCGAGTTTTAGGTGGGAGATCTGGTGTTGCTGAAGGTGTCACCTTGGAAAGGTGTCATCCGATTCCGAAAAAGAGGCAAGATGGGCCCTCGATTCATTGGTCCATTCAGAATTTATGTCCGGGTTGGCAGGGTTGCATATCAGCTGGATCTTCTAGATGAGCGTAGTCAGATCCATAGTACTTTCCATGTATCTCAGTTGCGGAAAAGTGTCTCCGATGATTCTGTAGCGAT